AGCTCATCGAAGGAATTCATTTGTTTAGTCAATTACCAAAATTTGGATGATTTTGAATATTCACTTGAAAAGTTATCAAAGAAAAACATTTTTCATTTTGTAACTTCGAGGGCCCGTAACTTGGTTACGAAGACTTTTAGGAAAAAAAGTTATATGAAGTACTGGTGATATTTTGACCCCATCTATACATTCCCGAGAGGAAAAGAGGAAGTCCAGGGACACCCTGTATAAGCATTAGCGAATTGGACTGAAAATATCAAACTACTTGTTCGCTAGTTATTTTTCTTCAGTATGTATTTATGGTTTGATGGAGGATTAAAACTACATTTTCATCATTGAAAATCGGGTCAGTTTTAAAACTTAATCAATTGAGAATATTATAATTAACTGACATCGACAAAATTTGTAGGAACATATAAGGCATTCCAATGAAAACTTAACCCCACCTGTAAGTCAAAAACGGACGTGAACAGGTCAACTTTAATTTATTTCTAGTAGGACTAATTCTGATATGGAAATCGTATCCGAAACTTCACCCCCCTGCGGTCAGCATTTACCCCCCCTATTTTTTTTTCAATGGCACGGGGGTCGAGTGATACATCATTTGAAAGGTCTTTCATCCTTCTATTATTTCTGTGATTTTTTTTAAATTGGTTCATTCGTTATTCGTTATCCGCTGTCGCTCATTTTATTTACGAAATCAACTAAAGTAATATCAATGGCAACACAATCAACGGATGAAGTGTTCGAAATGATCTCCATCTGGTTCCATACAATAATACAGTCTACTCTCGAAAGCGTTCCATACTCTATTCAAGATGTCCAGAGTCAGGAATCGGCATTCCCAAACAATTCTCGGTCGCAGGTCGCAGGTCTTATTTAATTTTCTCCAAAAATGTCATCATAGGATCTTAACAGTCTTGTAATAGATTCAAGTATGTGTCACCATTGAAATTATCTTCAATGAAGAATGGTCCAACAATATAATCACCAAGAATAACGGCCCAGACATTCAATTTTTGTGGAGTTTGTGAATGTGTCTCCATTACCAAATGAGAATTCACATCGCTTCAGTAACGACAATTACTGCAATTCACTTCTCCATTCAACATGGAGGAACTTCAGTTTGAAAAACATGTATTGTATAATAAGTTTCGGTTATTGGTCAATTTCTCGCTGAACACCTCACAAAACTGAAGTCTACGATCAAGATAATCTTCGTTCAATTCCTGAATTATACTCATTTTTTTCGTGACCTGAAACTGCAACTTCAACTCCGTCATTTCTGACAGGACGGGATACTTCATGTTTTCTGTTGTGAACAGAACCTGAAGTTCGAAACTTATCCATTAACTGTTTAACATATTGATGGCACACTTTGTGGTCTGGATGATTCGTATTATAAATTCTTGCAGCAACATTAATTATTTCGATAACAGGTTGCAACAATTCCTATCCTTTCTTCAGTAGAATTAACTATTTTGGATCACAGTTAACAAGGATGACTGAATAATAATTCGTGAAGAAGTGATAGTGGCCAACTAAACTCCTTTTTGTTCTGCGACAACTAGATTCAACAAAAACTACCAGTGTCGTCCATTCCAAAACATGTACTACTAATTAAATCAATTCTAAAAGTCTAGAAGACCTGCGACAGAGAATTGTTCGGGAAAGCAGATTTCTGACTCCGGACATCTTCAATAATGCAAGGAACGCTTTCGAAAGTAGACTGTATTATTGTATGCAACTGAATGGAGGCCCACTTAGAGGTCATTGTCGTCTGAATGATCGAATTCAGGGACTGTCGAAAGTCAGCGTATGTCGTTTCTGTTTGGAAGATGATGAAAGAGCACAAATCATAGTAATGTTTTCAAATTTTCAAAGAGTTTCACTCTTGCCGTCTAATCTAGAAGGTCACCCACCACATGAGCTTATTAGTTTCGTTGAGAAGCTGGATTTGTTTGATCAAGATTCGATAGGTGTAAGCCACAATAAACTCTTATGTATTGCAGTGGAGAGATGAATAGACCTACTCACTTCGACCAAAAACAGTTGGCAATAAATTATTTCAATGCTATCGGCAGTAACAACTGTTAGGTGCAAACAATTATTCATTTTCTCAATTTTGAATATCTGATGGGAGTTCAGAAAAAAGCACCGTAGTAGCATAAAAATGATAGTCATTTTTGTTATTTTAGGATTCTTCACAAATGAAGAGTTTCAGATATGACCTTCATCAAATATTAAAGTTAAAATATTTTAACAACCAGTTACGTCATTACTATATATCTTCATATGGTCACACGGCTTCGAAATATGCTACATATCGCGACCCAACCCACTTCTGGCGTTAAAGAGGTTATAAATTATTTTCTGACGAAAGCTGAATCTTCTATAATGAGAATCATTTGAATAGATGTTACACCCAAATACGTGTTTTCTGTTCCGATAGAAATGATGAATTTGCTGTTTTCATTCGACTCATTATTATATATATGAGACTTGGTTGAATCAAGGCCATACTATCTCAAAGGTATGGCAAGATTAAGAAATGAAAAGTTGTTGACAAGCTTTTTATGAAGACTCCTCAACAGGATTGAAAGTGCCAACTGGCAAAAGATAGAGGCTCATAATAACTCATAAAGGCAGCGATTCGAGTTTTTTGGAAAACGGCTTCTTACTCTTCAAGTCCAAGAAAACTAACGACTTATACGAGGAAATGGACGCGCAAAAGTTCGAAAGTTGGTATTCAAAGATTTTACCAAACCTTGAACCAAACTCTGTCGTCGTCATGGACAATGCCTCCTACCACAGCAGCCAATTGGAGCAGTCACCATCAACTATCTGGCGCGAATCTGATATCATTAGCTTGCTGTCCCAAAAAAATGTACCATTCGATAATATGTTGAATAGTCCAATTACTTGATAATGCAAGGAATTATATACCTTTAAGAAATGTGTTGTCGACGAGAGAAACATAATTGTACAGAGCCTCCCTCCTTACCATTGTGAGCTAAATCCGATCGAGCTAATATGGGTTCTAATAAAAAACTAAGTGACGAGAAAAAACTTGACTTTCAAAATGGCTAAGGTAAAAGACCTACTAGCTACTGCGATAAAAAATGTCACACCCGAGTCATGAAAAATTGCATTGGACATACGATAAAAGGAGAAGACAAAATGTGGGATTTCGATAATAGAATGGACATTGAAATTGAACCATTGTTTATTACCTTGAATAATAGTGATCGCGATAGTTCCTTATCATCCGACGAGTTTTCTTCAGACAATAATGAATAATACAATGCTGTGAGTACTTCCAAACTTTTTGCGGTGGTAATGGTTTTATGTGATTAGTTTTATGTGATTAGTTTTTTGCGATTATTCGCAGAATTTCATAGAAAAGCACGATAGACCACTTAGGGTCAATTTTACATGATAATAGGGGAGCCCAAGCGATTTCGGGATTTACTAAAGCGCGGCAGATTAATATACAGGGGGATACCTTGTACCCAGTTAAGTACCTCCACCAAATATTAGCCCCATATATAAGGCCGCCTGTGAGGGAAAAAGGATCAGATTAGTAAAAAAAATTGATCATCAGAAATTCTCGAGCGCGTCAGATTAAGGTAGGGTGAGTTAATTACCTGCTAAAAAGTGTAGTATTCCAGTAATCTGACAATTTGAGAGTGACGTAAAGAAAGGGGAGGGCAGCAAAGTTGTAAAAAAATCACGTCATTTCGAAATTCTCGAGCGTAGCTAATTTATTTTCATTTTGAAGGAAATAATTCAAGGATAACGAAAAATATATAATCTGACGATTTCCGCAAACCGAAATAAGAAAAATTCATCAATAAAGTTTAATGCGTGCAGCTGTTTGATACCTACATTTCCCTCTACGAGTTTCTATTCCTCTATTCTCTATTCACTTTTTATCTGTCTATTACTCTCTCACTCC